ACTGGCGCTGCAGAGGTTGTGGGCAGCTTTGTAACCCAGTGCTCAATGGCTGACACCAGGGTGGCCCTCCTCCTCAGTTCTTAACTTTCTACGTCCCAGCTCTGCTTGTCAACCTTCATTACTCCTCACACTTTTCCTCGGATGGGTGGCTATTTTCCTTCTCCTTCCCATCCCCACTCTTGTCCAGACAATTTCTTTGTCCCTCTCTCCTCACCTAGCCCCTCAGACACTGTATTTCTCTTACCATTTCTGATTTTGCATTACAAAGTCCCAAGAACCAGACTTGCAGATGATGAGAAAATATATTATTTAGCAAATGAATAAAATAAAGATTCCAGGAGAACTTCCAGCCCAGGTGCAATGAACACTCCAATGCAGGCATAATTAACAAATTTGCTTTACAGCTCCTTCCCTTTAAAAGTTCATGGCCAGAGCCTCAGCACTCCTATCTAAGCAAAGTTGCATTTCAGAAGGGTCAGGTAGCCAAAGCTGGTTTGTCTCTCCAAGGCCATTCTGGTAGTCTGCCTCTTTCCCCCTTAGCCTGTCCTCCCCACAACTTGTCTGGGGACTTTGCAGCAAATGGTTGTACCTGATGAAAAATGATGCTATCAATGCAACAAATATGAAGACAGTTATGTATAAAAGGAACACTGTGTCTTTAAACTGGTGCTCAGATCTTGGGGGGAGGGGAGACGGCTACCCAGGTCTGGGACCTCATGCATGAGTAATAAACCTTTTCCTGACCTCACCATTCCTGAAGTACTGCTTGTTCTTCCTCTGCCTGGGTAAAAGGCCAGAATTTCTTATTTATTTATTTATTAATTTTTTAAAAATATTTATTTATTTTTTATTTATACAAGAGCAGGGGTACAGGCCAGATGCTCGGGATGGTGAGCGGATTCACCAGAGACAGAGCAGGGAGCAGAACAGGCAGATTGACTGAAATACACTGCGCCATGTGGGTTGCTCCGAGGCCTGGGGGGATCGAACCAGCACTGCAGAGGCTGTAGACAGCTTCACAGCGCTATGTTCAACTGCCTGCGCCACCAGGGAGGCCCAAAAGGCCAGAATTTCTACAACACAGAAAGTCTCTTCTCCAAGTTGAGGGACAGAAGAGACTGAACTAGGTGGAACACACTTCATACCGGTCTGGGAGCTGGCGGTGGGGAGCACACGATATCACCAAGCATCTTCTCGGCACCAAAAATTTGAAACCCATACACAATGACTACTGTGCCTAGACTCGAAATAACCATTAAAGAACACATGATGGAATTTGTTCCCCTTGAGTTGGATATTAGGAGGCAGGAGATATCGAAGTTAAAGGCTATTTATTCCTTAATAAAGAAAGAAAGAATGTGGTCATTATTAAACTCGGTTCTAATTCATTTTCTTGGCATTTGATGTCACAAAATGGATTTCATTTGCTTCCTTCTTCCTTCATTCAATTGGTCATGATATTTTGATACTGAAAGGCTGATTCCTGGCCAGGAACCAAAAATGATACTGGGTGAAACTGAGGGGTGCCCATGGACCCTAAACTGTTAAAGGGAAAAAAAAAAAACCTTGTTGCCCTTTCTGAGGGTCCTGGTCATCTGCGTGGGTGATAGCGCGGTATCTGAACTCCAGTGTGCCCAAAGAATTTTAAATGGTGAGAGATTCAAAGGCAGAAGTTGAAAAGGAGGAAATTAGTAGGAGAGAGACTCCTGATCAGACTCCAAAAATTACTCATCCTTTCATGGGCAAATGCCCAGCCTAAGAGGCCAGGTCCAGCTGGGCATGGTTGAAGCCCAAAAGCAAGGCACCGCCTGGCAGGAAAGTTGGGCAGAGCCCAGCGGGCCAGGAAAGAAGAGTCAAATGTTCAAACGTACCTGACAAGCTGAGTCCACCGGAAGGTCAACGTAACAGCTGCCATTATCTCTGAAGAGAATGCTTGTCAAAGCAGCCTGCCTGCCTCCCTCCTTCCCTTTTCCCAGTTTATGCATGTCAGGAGTTGCAGCCACAGGGACAGGGGGCGGGAATATGGCGTCCCTCGCCCAGGCCTCAGCCCTTGCTCCTCACTACTCTGCCTGGATGCAGTGACCACTCTTACAGTTTGTTTGCACCAAATTGGGGGAGGGAGCATTTAGGAGGAATTCCTTTCTGGTTTCTTCTGTGAGGATGAAGTCTCTGCTTGGCTAGAATAGGAGCTTGGGGATGGGGCTGTGCTTCTCCCAGTGAGATTTCTCCAGAACAGCAATTATGAGGTGGTTCTCAAAGCCGAGTCAGGGTAGAGAGCGCTCTTGACCCATGCTGATTCTGTAATATGAAGCTTGGATATCGAAAGTGCTAACTTCCGACAGAGTGGCTAGGTTTCATTTACAACTCAGTCCAATCACAGATACTCATAATGATTTTATTAGGAGAAATCCACATTACAGTAATATAAGCATTCAATTCAACTGGCAGTAAAAGGGGTTATGAACCCCTGAGCTGAGGTTTGGGAGACACGCATGAGAACTGCATCACATTCAGGGTTAGGAACTTTCCTTGTAGCATCAGCTCACCCAGGAGGGCAGTGCTGCTTCCCTGACTAGAGCTTCCTGTGGCAGAAGCAAAATCTTGAGACAGCTTTGGAGATCATATTGGTAGGGAACCCTGAGTGTCTCAGATTGACTTATTTCAGCTCCTATACTTTTATTGCCTTCAGAGGTATGTTACCAGGGTCACCTGTCAGTTTAGCATAGCTAGGTGTTTATGTATCGTTGCCTCAAGTATCTCTTTATCAATGACAAGTGATTGCTTTTTTAATAATTTTTTTTAAAGATTTAAGTATACAAAATTGGGGTACAGATCAGAGGTGCAGGGGGTGAGAGGATTCACCAGAGACAGAGTGGGGGAACAGAGCACGTGGGTTGACTGAAATACACTGCTGAAGGGAGCAGTGGGCAAGACAGGAGAGGTCTGCTGCCCCATGTGGGTCAGCTCCCTGGCCAGGGATTGAACTTGTGCTGCAGTGACTGTGGATAGCTTCACAGTGCTGTGCTTAACCCCTTGTGCCACCAGGGAGGCCCTGACAAGTGATCACTTTTTAATTAATAACTTAAGTCACCTCAATTCAATTGCCCCCACTTCTTGACCAGTCATAATTTCTGATATATCAATATGTATAACAGCTTCTCATCTTCTCTCTGCCCTCCCTGCGGTCCAGATGTGCAGTGCAGCCTGTGCTCAAACTCCCATGGAAATGAAAAATAGCTTTTCCTACTAAATAGCAAAAATCCAAGTGAGTTAATTTGAAGATCTAGTTGCCTTTATTAAACAAATCATGAATCACCAATATTCTATCTAGCAAGTAAAAAGGTGCTGCAAAAAGCTGTTCAAAATAGAAGGTTTTATAGTCAGAAAGAAACTGGGATAAATGTCATCCACAAAAGAACAGAAGGATTACTTCAGGCGAAGCCACCTCCCTGAGGGGAAGGAGGTTTTCTTATCATGCAGGTTATCTCATGAGTGCTGAGCAGGTAACCCCAGGCTGAGTGGTTTAAAATTCCACTTTTAGGAGAGGTTGACGCTACAATTGGGTATTAAGTCTTAGTAGGGGTTGACACTAACAGCTCCATCTTGCACCTGTTGGGAGCTTATGTGATTTGTCTTTTACCAGTTCTGTTAGTGTGTTCAGAGGACGAAGGAGTGGGGATGGAGTGGCCAGCAGAGTGACCAGCTGAGGCACACTCTGAGGAACCTGTTTGTCATAAATGGAGAGTAACTGCCAGTTCTGCACTGGCTGCTGATGATTCATTTCCTCTGTAAGAAGGGAATTGGAGTTGGAATTTGAAAGAGTCATTTCTATATCTAGCGGTGAAGGGACTCTGAGTGATCGGCGTGTACTGTGTGTATTATCATCCTGGATAATATCTCTGACATCACTGTACTGAGAAAGATGTAAAATGGAGCTGTCCTATTAACAAAGAAACAAGCTGTCTGCTTTAATAATGCAGTTCTACAATAGCCAGTCTCCTTAGGTCTAGCGTACACCTGTATATATATTTGTATTTATCTCACTATATACGTATGGATGTCTGTAAACATATATGTGTATATATTTTTATATATTTTTTGGACATTCATGCTTTAAGAGACATAATAGAGCAACGAGCAATGCCACGTTCCCAGCCGCCAGAGCTAGCACAATTTTCCAATACTGCTGGGTTTGGAGATTGAATGCTTTAATTATGATCTTTCCAGCTTTGTATGAGGAAGGCGATGAACATTTATTTAACAGGTTGACAATGGATAAAATGAGACTGCCGAGCATGGAGTCCATGCACTCAGAATCGTTTCCTTGCTGTGGGACTACAGCATTCTTGTCACTAAAGATCTCTGGTCGGAGAGCCATCACCATGGCAGATACTTACCTGATCCTTCCCCTGGGGTGAGGAGCTCCAGTTCCTGACTCTCTGCCCAGGCAGCAGGATGGGGTGGGGGGTGGAAGTTGTCTTTTTTGTATCTAGTAACTTCTGTACTGGAGGAGCAACTGTTGAGGACTGGTACATGGAGGTGATCATGTCTCTTAGCAAATGTACTTTGAGTGAACAAAGACGCTTTTGCACAGGAGTGTAAGGTACCGGCACAGGCCCCAGAGCCCGTGCTGTTCTCAAGTGCTGCCCCTGTCTACAAAGATGTGTGGCTTGTAGGAAGAGATGAAGACCTCATGATGCCTTTGGCAAGTGAGACTGGGTGGCCCTGATTCCTGGGCACTGTGGGGGTGCAGAGTCACCACCTCACCTGTACACTCTTATCAGGCATCATGGCAGGAGATGAGGGGCAGTCTGAAGTGTTCAGTTATTCCAATGCCTTTAAAACAGTAATGTGGGATGGAACATTCTATACTATATGATAATGTATATGAAGGGTGATAGGTCTTACACACATTAAATGGTAACTTTGACTTGACATCTATGGGATCCTCTTTTGTAGATTTTTAAAAAAATGCAATTTTTTTTCTTTTAAAACTGCAGGTACAGTGACTGAGTTTGTCAAAAGTCCACATTTCCCTACTTTGACAAGATCTGGTGACTACTTGTAAGAACTTGGAGTTTCAGTTGTCGCCAATGAGTCATCAGCAGCAAACAGAGGCTGAGACGTGTGAGTAGAGCTGTGAGGCTTACCACCTTTATTCCACAATGCACTCATGGGACAGGGATCCCCACCTTTATTTTCAGAAAGGAAACTGATACTCAAGAAAGACTTACACAACAAAATAAAACTTGGATTCAAGTGTCCTAACCCTAAAGCCTTGACTTGTAATGGGGAGAGCTGCTTCTTCTCGGGGACTCTAGCAAGCAGCTTGTGGTATAGGGGATTTCCCTGCATGGTAAGTAAAAGTTCCTTCCTTATGGCACGAAATCAGTAAGGGCCTCTATATTCACTAGGCTCATATAAACCTGGTCCCTGCCCTGATTAAATTCATAGACTTGTTAGTCTAAAGGTGGAACTATAGTATTGGCATAAAATAACAACTATTTATTAATTACTGTTATTTCAAAAACAATTTTGCTTTAATATACTATCATAATAATCTTTTGTGTATCCATAAATTATTTATTTCCCAGTTTCCTGAGAGATAACAACTTAAACAAATACTTTATTCCTTTTCCATCTATCCACCCATCCATCTACCCATCCATCCATCCACTGATCCAAAAAAATATTTGTTGATTTGACTTCATGTCAGGTATGTTATTAAAGATTGAAGGTCACACAAGGATATTTAAAAACAGGCATGACTTTTTCCTCCAAGGTGCTAAGACTTTTGCAAGGGCTAGGGAAGAGGATCCACTCAAAGAGAATTATCATTATGACCTAAGAGTTTCTAAAACATTGAGTTCTTTTCTTGGGGAGTCATAGAAGTCTTTTTTAAAAAATTATTTATTATTTTTACATCATTGTTCATTTTTGTATACGTTTGATTTCCCTTGTCAGGTGTGATCCCTGTAACATTACCACCACCAAGACACCTGTGAACCATCACCATGGTTTCTTGATAAATAGGCAGAACTTTGAAAGGGCAGATGGACTAGTAGAGTGAGCATTCCAGATAAACAAGTGGGCAGACAGAAGCAGCTCCAACTTAATGGCAGTTGGGAATGTTAGTGGAGGGGTGGAGCTGAGGCCATGTGGAAGATGCAAGCTAGGACAGGGTCATGGAGGGCATGAGTTCAAGGGCAGGTGGCTTAAGCTGAATTTGGTAGACAGTGGGATTCATGGAAGCTTCTATTTATGTATCTACTTATCTGCCTACCATCCAAAATCTATCAGTCCTTCTATCTATTAGCATTGAGGAATGATTGACACAGAACATTATATTAGTTTTGAGGTATGTCACAATGATTCGCTATCTTCATACAGTGTGATGATCACCACAATGTGTGGTGAACATCCATCATCTCACATAGCTGACAAGTTTTTCATGTGATGAGAACTTTTAAGATTTGTCTCTCAGCAACTTTCAAGCATGCCACACAGTATGATTATCTGTAGTCATTTTATGTTACACCCCCGTGTGTGAAAACTTTTAGAGTAGTGGAAATCCATGATCCAGGTTTAGTAGGGGAAATGTGCTTCTTAGAGGCAGGCAGATCCTGACGAGAATTCCCGCTCATTCTTTTTAGTGGGATCCACTCAGCCGGTTCTTCTCTGGGCTTCACTGCCTGCATCTGTCACTTGCAGGACATGATGTCAGCCTGGCGGTCTTGTTTGGCGGATCCGGGGCAACCACGTGTGCAGAGCATCCACTGGGGGCCTGACCTAGAGGGTACTCTATCAAGGTGGCATTCTGATGGGGTTCTGAGAATGGCAGAGGTGGGCAGCCTGGCTAATATAACTACAGTGGCCCTCCAGAGGTCTGAATCTGGGAGTAATAGTAGGCATGGATTCAAGGCAACAAGGGACAAGAAATTGTGGCTGGAACCTGAAACCAGATGGGAGGTGTGGTAGTAGAGTAAGGTAAGCTGTGGCTAAGAAGGATGCTGGGGCTGCCTTCCCAGTGGCACCCGGCTCAGGGATAACAGGGGCTGTGGGACTGCAAGCCTAGAACAGTCCCTCCATGAGCCAACCTTTATTTTTCAAGTCACAGTAAATTTCAGAAATCCCTATTTTCACAGAAGCTCCTGATGCCGGTTGCCAGATTTACATTTTGAGGGAACAGGGGATTTTTGGTTTTCCTCAGGGTTCGAACCACACAGCACTGCTTGGCTTCCTCTCATGCAGGCAGGTTGGCCAAGAAAACCCTCCTTTGTTTGGCTCTGAATGGAAGGCATGCTGCTGCGGGCCTCTTGACATTTACTTTATCCTGGAGCTGAGCTTCATCTTGGCGCACAGCAGTGGAGGGGGCGGAGTTGGGAAGTGTCCTCAGCAGACATGTTTTCCACATTCGGACATTGTTAGACCTTCAGCTCCAGACTCTTCTATCCCTGATGTTATTGTTTACCACCTTGCTAGAAAAACGGAATAGGAAACAGAATTAATTCACAATTACTGAAGTATGATGAGATGAAATGCCTGTAAGCATGTCCCCTAGGGAAACCGTGTGAAAGTCTATCACAAGGGAAGGCAATTAAAATTTGAAACTAGGCTAATGAATCTGATACAGGGAAATTGTTTTAATTATCAGTGCATTGTCTTAACTACATCGTGTGATGTTCCAGAATCAGGTATGAGCCTCAATTCTAGGGGTTCCACAAAGGACCTTTGGGAGTCCCTGTGAAGACACTGCCATGATGAGACGATCCAAATGGATTGATGCTTCTTAAACGTGAATCCGCTTTGCTGCACTTCCAGACCTCGCGTCAATGCTTCTGTATTTTCACCAGCAGGTGTCACTATTTACATATAAATGGAAACAACCCCCCCACCCAACCATTTTTTTTTTTTCTTTTCTTTTCTTTTCCAAACCATGACTAGCTTATCCATATTTTGTTCATCCAGTCTTATCACGTGGTCAACTTTGTTACGGTAAAGAATGATATTGTTTATCCCTTTAAAAAAACAGTATGTGTAAAGGAACCGGCTAATAAAGGACACATTTCATTTATTAAACTATACTGTGAAAGTCTATTTAAAATATTAAACGTTTATCTTTGCCTGAAACCAGCTAATGTGACATCCAAACCAGGGCATCCAAAAACAGCTGAGGTGACGGATCTCAAGGGTCTTATTGGGGGAACTAAAACCTCTTTTGGGGAAATAAGACTTAGGTCATAGGTTATTGAGACCTTGGAAATGTTAGCTTAATTAAACAAGGTGGCCATTGGACTGAGGGGGTTCTGATGCCCTGGAAGTCTACATAAACAAACCAAAAATCAAACCTGTAGGTGCCTCAAGGTTATGAAATTGAAACTAAGGCCAACCAATCATAAACACCCGCTTAGACTTTAAGCTACAGCCAATCAATCATTGCCTGACTTTGCAGCTACCTCTTCTCTCTAAAAGTCTCTTCCCAAATTCCTGTTTGGTTTCGTGTTGCTGCCTGATTCAGACAGATTTTTGCTCAAACAGAGTCTTAAAATTTTTAATAGACCTCAGTTTGTCTTTCATCTGAAGGTAAGTATTACAACTAAAAGCTGGTATCACATCGTTTAAGAAGACGGAAGGTACCCGGGTACCGAGTAGATGGGAAAGGTGCCACATTTTTCTTTTTTGCTGAAAGAGTAAAAGAGAAAGAATTATTTTTGGAGATTCTGATTGAAGGAATTGTGAAAAATGAAATGGAGCATTTAGATGCTGGGTTTGGATGCTATTTCTTCATTATTCCAGAATCTGAGAGTGGGAATAAGAAGTCCTACAGTGGTAACTAGACTGAGACCCAGAGGGCATGGGGGCAGTTTGCTGTGTGGAGTGTTGACATCACAGTTCCTGTGGCTTCTTGTCTTTTCAATCCCATATCAAGACAAAAGGTTAGACAACCAAACGGAAGGTTTGAGATCAGAACTGATCCCAGAAGCTCTTGGATGTATGGCAGCTGCAAATAGATGGAGAATGACTTAAATTTTCTGATCTTGGGTTACTCCTGGGTGATGGTGCTGCCAGTAATAGAAATGGACAATCTGGAGAGGAAGGTTGGCTTGGAAAGATGTCAGCTACAGTGTGATCCATGTTGTTGAAACCAATGTCAGCCAGGTTGGCAGAGATCTGGAAACATGAAGGCAGAGAGGCCAGAAGCAGACCATAGGCCGTACATGAGACTGTATTTAGGAATTGTTGACTTAAGAGTTCAAACAGCAAGAGGTGTGTGTGTGTGTGTGTGTGTGAGAGAGAGACAGAGAGAGACAGAGAGAGAGAGAGAGAATGATAACTGTGAATGCACTTAATTAAGAGATGACATCACAAAAGAAGAAAGACGTCAGAAAAAAAGGCAGGGAATCTGTCCATGAAACAGAAGGAAAATAAAACCAGGAGGGATGTAAGGATTTTAGGAAGAAAGTTACAACTAACACTGATAAGTTTCTCTGGGAGCTCCAAGAACGAGACGTCACCACAGGGCCACTGGACTTCACAAGAAGATGCTAGGCTATTTGAAGAAACTACTTTGCTCAAACTAGGTTATAATTGACAACTTGTCTCTTAGGTATGAATGCCCCAAAACATTCAAATAGGGCAAAGTTTCTTCACTGGATAACAGCTAAGATTCCTTTCAGCTGTGAGCTCCTTGAATATTTCTCAAAGTGATCTCAGGTTAAAGATGTCATGGCTTTACCAAAATGTCTGTTGCCATCCTGTTCAACCTGAGGTATGCAGGATGAGCCCAGGATGGGCCATTGGTCAAATGCTGGTGCCACCTGGAGTCTGCAGCATACACAGATAATATTTCCAAGGACCTTAGTGGATGGCAGCTTTGGCTTTTGCTCTGGTTTGAGATGCTCTTTCTGCTGCTGGAGAGTTGACAGTGGATGCTTACACACTGGTAGGGCTTGGCACAATGGAGAGTTCATGACAAAATGGTGCCAAGAACCAAATCTATTTCAGAGGGTCAAACATCTCCTTGAACTTGGAGCCCGAAGGGAGAGAGAAAACAGAAAAAACAACAACTCAATAGTTGGTCACCAGATCCTAAATTAAGTTGATTGTGAGAAATCAGATGAGACGCT